CTCTAAGCGCAATATTTTGCCTGGCGCATGTTAGAAGGGTGTCGATGATGGGAACCAGCGCAGTCCTGTTTCTTTCAATCTCTTTCTGCCTTTCAATGTTCATTATTGATCGAACGTCCTTCTCACTCCCAGGTGTTGCACGGCTCAAGAACTCCGTGTACTTTATGGCACATGTCTTATGAAAAGATGTTTCTTGGTGACTTGTGAGGGCTCCATTTTTCCCTGTCAAGTCTGAAAAGTTTACAAGAGGCTTGTTAACAAGTTTGCCCATTGACTGGCCTGCTCCACCTCCGTATTGTGCACCTCTTCCACCTCCACTCTCGCACGTCTTGAATAAAACGCAATAAACACACCAAGCACCGCAACATTTTGGCTCTCTGCTGACAGCTAGCCAGGGGAAGGTTTTCAAGTGATTTTCACCCAGAAAACGCTTCGTTGTCGAGGACATACCAACCATGAGCTGATTCTTTGGTTTTTTCTTTTCAGAAAATGGATATTCATCCCTTCTCTGCGGCACCCACCTCTTCGATAAATATGCTTCCCTTTCGTTATCTGTCAGCTGTTCTCCTCGTTTTGTTTTCATTATAGCTCTACCAATGTCATATCTATCAGATATTGCAACATTTACTTGTGTCGCCATACAACAGAGGTCTGGGTGTGTTTCCTCTTCAGGACAATCCTGGACTACCGCAACTTGGCTTTGTGTGTCGAATTCTTCACCAGTAGATTTTGATTCAAATTCTTGGCAAGTGGTAGTTTCACATGTTTTAGAGATTTCAGGGTTATCTCCAACTGAACTGGTGCGGCTACTTTTTGAGAAGAATGATTCAAGAGTTCTTGATTTCTTTGGCGGACCAGACATTTTAATCAAACCTCCAGTCGGCTTTATTCTCTCGCTTTCAGTGAGGCAATAAGTTGCAAGTGGATGTGTAACACAAGAATTATGATAAGCCTAAAACAATAGTTCAATGCAAAATTAGATGTGACCGGATCTCGCGGCTCATATGGACTATGGTTTAACACAAATCATGACTGCGATCATGAATGAATGACGTCTGCAAACGTTAATGGTTGAGAAAGTTATGGCTAAAATGGGTTACAGTTCAAACATTGTTCATCGTGTTATTGCGATTGTGATACCCAAAAAGCGTCACTATTTCCAACAAAAGCAAAACAGTACCTATAACTACTCAGCTTTGCCTGTTATGCTGCGATGAATTTTTGGTGACTACCCATTTTGAAAATTTACCATTCAAATTATACGCACCAAATACGTGGGGACTTTTGCTCATTTTCTAAATCTTTTTTTCATCTTAAGGGTACGTGTCTTATGCCGGCTTCTTGAACACAGGAATTATAATGTCATTCACGAACTCTGATGCGTCATAGTTCCCCTCCCAAGTCAAGCGCGAAAGCTGCTGACCAAATATTCAATATGAATATTTGTAAAGGCTGAAATACACGATCAGTTTTTTATGTCAGTTTTCCCCAAAGTTATTTCTATATCCGTTTTTCATCAGTTTAACTAAAGAAGCGCGTGTTTACACGATTAGCCAAAGTTCATCAATTTTTCATCATGTATTTTAGCCTTTACTTCGCTTGGAAGTTTCTCGCAGCAATGAAGTTTCTTAATTTTCAGTGTTCTGAGAGTGTACCTTCTTATGAAATTTTTTGATAGAAAGGGGCGTTTCCCGCGTTCGGTGAGACTTTGAAGGGCGTGTCTGTGAAATTTTCGCAGGCCTCCTCTTCTTTCATAAATGGCCCTCCCCAAACGCAGACGCTGGATCCGCCCCTGTCAGAAAATGTGTCATAATAAGATGATGTGTCAAATAAGCACATCAATAAGAAACTGCGCAGTTTCGATGCACTTAGCAATAGAATTTGAAGGCTCCCAAACGTTAAAGTTAAAGTCGATTTATTGTATTCTGTAAAGTTCCCAAACAATATACACGTTGACCGCCGCCATTTTTTTATCCTCGCTTTCAATTCGTGTATGCTACGCATGCGTCGATATCAAACTAACCCAGGCTCGCCCTTGATTCCGTTTACACTACAAAGTCGACAGTTTCCAGTGTAAACGCATCAGGGTTCGACCCGGGTTACTTTTAACCTAGGGCGAACCCAGGTTAGTTTGTGTAGTGTAAACAGGGCTTTATAGTCGCAAACCGTGCCGGTTGCGCAAGAGCCTTTAAAACGTTATCAAAATTGCTTTGATCTAATCTGCTACTATTAACAGTACTATTAGATATTTTACTAACGATACTCTGTTTATACCTTTTCCTCCTCGAACCTTTAAACTGGTTGTTATTTCCATAACATGTATAGGGATTGCTTTACTTAATGATCAAAAAGTGTGTTGGAAACTAAAGAACATTAGACCTCATTCAAACTTTTGACAAATTGTCATAGTTCATAGCCATTGCCCTGCCTTTATAATGCTAGTTAATTACTACTGCCTCAAACAGGGTTAATGTTCTCCATAGTGGCTATTTCCACTAAGGGCAGTAATAAGATGTGAGATGTCGAAGAGGGTCGGAGAAAGATAAAAGGGTAACCCCTCTTCTAAAGACATTGATTCTGAAAAGTTGCTACATTACTCAAGCCTTTTTGTTTAAAAGTTCTGCTTCAATATTTCTTTAAATAAATTGGCAATGCTGAATGAACAACCCAAGCTTCAAAGTTCACGACAGTTTGCGTCGCACACAGACCAGAGTTGATCGTCTCTTATCTGATGTTGCTTCTCCAATGCCAGAGGTAAATTACTGGATATATGCACTGCCCGCGAATCATAAGATTGCTGGGTTCAAAATTTAGATGCCTAAGACCCTTGTCGCTTTTCGATAAGTGATTTTAGGAAGTTTTAGCTCTGAATTTTTACAATGCTGTTGATAGACAGATGAGTGCCAATAACAATACCACATAAAGATAAAGATGTATATAAAAAGAACGATCCATGCTAAAAGTTACATTAAGATAAAGTTTGAGCATGTTTTAGCTATTGAAGCGACCAGGGAAGGGCTCGAACTCGCAACTAGTAGTTTTATTCCGTTAACATAACAGAGTATGGCACTTTGGAACTTTAGCTGTCAACGAATCGGTAGAGAGGCAGATCCAACTAAAGATAAAAGATACAATGGCACAACCTGACATAATTTTTCAGAGCATTAGCATTCATTTACGAGCTTCAGTAGTCGTCAAGGTCGTAAACACCCTGTTCTTATATACTTCGACATTTCCGCAAAAGTTTAGTTGGCCTAAATTAAATCTTATACTGTATGTTTACTGTTTGAATCATCTGATCTCCTTTGCAGTTGTTGTTGATTTTAAAACAATAGATAGGTAAATATTTTTCGTATTAACTTTGAGAAACTTTTTGAAAGACATAACACGAAGGAATTAATTTCATTTCTAAAATTGCAAGCTTTGATGTAGGACAAAAATTTTTAAAAATAGTGAGCATCAGCATAAAGGCTGATTCCTTAGATAAACTAATTCGAATTTTGTTTTAAAAAAGCCACGAACATCTGTCTATTAGAATACTAAGAGTTTATTAATTGACCGTAAGCGTAATTTAATGTATTTGCATAGAATAACATTATGCAATGCTGCGGACTGCCGTTTATAAGTGATTCAATCTCCAGCTGTCTCTACACTTCATTTAACTTATCCTGCAATTATCTAGTGCACGTGGGAAACAGTAACAGTTAAAAGGCTTGATTTGCAATGCATCGGCATTCCATAACAGTCTGAACACCCCCTCTACCCGTAAACGGAATATCCTCCTTTCTATGATTAGCCTCTTAATCGTGTAATTGATGACCCACTTTTATACAAGATATATAATTCAGCACGTGATGAGTGAAGAACATTTCCTTTTTATGATGAAGCAGTAAAGATAAATGAAGATCTTGTTTCTTCATCAAACTTCTTCGATAAAGATCTCTTTATACACGCCCTTCAACACTCGTTAGCTTGCCTGTTTAATCTCTATCTGAAAGCTTGATTTCTTGTCTACTTGATTTCTTTCATGCTTGCTTGCTTATTAGTACAATATCTTGATGATTTGCCAGTACTTCTTTCCGCTTTTAC